GAAAAAAAAAAAAAAGAAGCAGAAGCAGCAACAGGCACAGAAAACCCTTGAGACGAGTAGGTGAGAAAGATCGGTTTCTGGTAGAACGAGGGCATGATCCATTCCCACAAGGATAATAACCAGTTAACTTGCTAAGTGAGTTTGCTGAGTGCCAGGCAACGGTGTTAAGCCCTTTCTGTAGATTACCTCACCTAACCGCCCCGACAACTTGTGTGGCGGGTACGTGTTACGGGCTGCATTATTGCATCCTCCCCTAAAATACGTCGGAGCCCCAACCCGCAGGCCCTCAGAAGGCACCCTTGTTTGGAAACAGGGTCTTTACAGAGGTAGTCAGTTTCAAAGAAGGTCGTTGATAGTGGACTGATGTCCTCTGACAAAGGGGATACACGGACCCGGAGACAGCCACACACGCAGGGAGAAGCCCACGTGAAGATGAAGGCAGAGGTCCGGGTGATGGTCCACAGGCCAAGGAGTGCCAGGGACTGCCCGCAGACCGCTGCCAGCGAGGAGAGTGCCCAGGAACAGATTTGCGCTCAGAAGGATGCAAACCTGCCCCTAGTCTGATCTCAGATTTCTAGTCTCCAGACCTGTAAGACGACAGATTTCCTCTGCTCAAGCCACAGAGTGTGTGGCACTCTCTGATGGCAGCCCTAGCAGATGAACACAGTACAAATATTCTGACTCCCCAGGGTACAGAGGCCGAGGCTCAGAAGAGCTGTGCGATGAGGCCACACGTGGGCCACAGCGCTGTCACAGGCAGGGGTGGAGGCCATACCCAGGCTATTCTGCCTCCCCAGCTCCTGCCCTTGGCCCCACCTGCTGCTTCTGCCCCAGAGGATGGCGAGCATCAGTGCAGCGAATCCCAGGAACGGCTGGCGTGCCGTGGCTCCCTCAGTGCTTCTGAATGAAGAGTATGGCTGAGGTTGTGGCTATTTCCAAGTTTATATGCAGCTTTTATGTAAAACAGAATGACTGCTGGAAATACCTGCTTTCTTGTTTCCGTGGGCAACTAAACAGAATTTACCTTTTTGTAGAGCGAGGGCAGCGGTCATACTCTGTTCTCTTCCCACCTCTAACATGAGAAGATAATGGGCCAAAATCTCACTCGTCAACGATGACAAGCATGAGGGGACCACAGCAAATAACAGCTCAAGCCAGTGACTAGGAGGTGGGAGCGAAGGACAGGCGGGCTTTCCCAAGATACCACAACAGAGGCAAAGAGCAAGGCAGAGAACAAGCCTGCTTCAGAGAGGCCACGGACACGGACTGTCTTGGGAAGAGAGGCAACTTTGGTCCAGGAACAAAAGCATAGGAATAAGAAGGAAAAAAAGAAAAAGTAAAAGAAGACAATTCTCTGAGAATGACTCCTGGAATGAATCCGATAGAGAGCCTGACGCCAGATGAAGGAAGCTCACGTGCACTGAGGGCCTGTTACAGCTGCTGTGTGTGTGACAGTGAAACTGTTCACTTCTTCCCAAGAATCTTGTGAAGAAGACGCTGTCATCACCCCCACTTGGCAGGAAATGGGGGCTCTGAGCAGTGAAATCCTTAGCCCAAGGCCGCCCATCTCCCTGGCCCAGCTGATCACTGGCAGTGCCCACGGAGGGGAGCAACACAGAGGGGTCACCCTAGGACACGATGGGAGAGTCTTCAGGAGAACCGCCTCCCTCCTTCTGGACACATCGTGTTGTGTGTGTCCTGGTATGTGTACAAGTTCACATTTAAAACTACAGGCAACTCACTGCAGAGAATTTTCACAAATTCCAAATTATATCCCAGTTCTTCTAGAATAGGAGCTCTTATTTTTAGGCATGACAGCACCTTTGAGAATCTGATCAAAGCTATGACTCCTTTTCCTAGAAAAATGTGTGCACAAACACAGGCACTTGACATGACACTTCCTTGGGGGCTCCATGGGTGACAAGCTTTTCAACCCTCAGAGGATCCTTTCGGCCCCAAGGAGCCCAGCGATGTCTCGGCACTACTGAGAACGTGTAACGTGTCATCGGGCACCTGGATCGGGGCAGTTCCGCTCCTCGATCACTGGCGGGCATTTCTGTGATACTGCATCTGACTCCGCCACTCTGGGGAGCTCTACTGTGCCTTTTCCATCTTTATTCCCATCAGTGTCCTGCACAGCATAGCTGTAACACGAACGTCTTCTGGCCTCTGGGTTTCAACTCGAATGTAACCCCTTCCTGGCAACACCCTAAGTTGCCTGCCCCTCTCCAGTCCCACCATGGTAGGTTTCCTTCAGAGCGGGGCTGTGGGCAGCCCTGTACTCCAGGCGTGGCCCACAGACCAGCGCCATCTAGGGGCTTGTTAGAAACGCACACCTTAGCCTCCAGCCTGGTGCGTGTTAGGTACTTAAGAGTGCCTGGTCCAGCTCCGGGAGCCACTACCCTGAAAGGGGCTGCAGAGCACTTGAAACATGGCTAGTCTGCGCTGAGATGTGCTAGAAGGATAAATTGTATACCCGATTTAAAAGACAGTGCAAAAAAGAATGTGAAATATCTCATTAATAATTACCCCATGAGCTGTTGAAATTATAGTATTTTGGATATTTTGTATTAAATAAAAAATATTATTAAAATTAATTTTATCTGTTTCCTTTTTTAAAAAAAGAAACATGGTGACCATAAAGTTTAAAATTACAAGGGTGTCTCACATTGTATTTATATTGCAAAAGGCTGCTTTGAATCATTGAGAAGGGCTGTTAGGATAATGGGCAGGAACCGGTGTTGACAAAGCTACAGCCCCGGGGTCCATTCTGGCCCTGTGCCTGTTTTGGTAAATAAACTTCCACTGGAGCACGGCCACGCTCGCTCACTGCGTGTGGTCCGTGAGTGCCTCCCCTCCGTGCTCCAGGAGCAGAAGTAAGCAGGTGCGACAGAAACTGCACGGCCTGCCGAGCGTAAATATTTACCTGGCCCTTCACGGGAGAAGTTTGCTGACCCCTGGTTGGGAGCCTTGCTTCCAGAGGGGGACTGCCCGGCTCTAAGTCAGGTTTCCAGTACCTGACATTGGGCAAGGTACTTCATGTCTGTTTCTTACTACCGTGTCTGAAAAGAGTACCTATCTTACTGAGTTGATATGAAGTTAAAATCAATTCATAATGTGAAATTCTTTCAATTGTGCCTCATACTTAGTATGTTTGCGGTAGGGAAGAACAAATCTGACTCCGAATTAGATCTGTTCCTTTAGCTCTCACCCTGTGCTCCATTCCTGGGCTCAGTCGTGCTGGTTCTGCACCTTTTGTAAAACAAATGTCCCCTGTAGCCTGAAATATACAGGAGAGCCCATTCTCAAGGCTTGACCTTTAAGGGCATTATCACTTTTCCATTCGTATACAGATAAAAAGTTGCCTAACAGAGAATAACACTGGTCTCCTTGGAGGTTTACAGGAACATCGTGACCTGACCTTTGTGGACAGAGGCAAGAACACAAGATTCCAGCACCAGGAGGTCTGCAGTAACCAACCACATCCCCTCCCCTTTTTAGCACAAGAGGAGTCTGAATTCTGACTTGGGTAAAGATGATTCCCTAGGATACGAATCTCTCATCCTCTCAGTTTGCAGACTTTCTGAATAGTCACTGCCCCTTGCCTCAACAACTTGCCACTCGATTTATTTTTGTCCTGCCGTGCACTGAGCAGTGTGAGCTTGGACTCAGTAACAGGTTCTCCGTACACGCCAGCCCCCAGTGCTACTACTGCTGGCCGTTACCCCAAGTATAATTAGACATCTTTGCTTTGTCACCATTTTTTCTTGTGTGTTGCCCCAACGGGCTAAAAACCCCAGGAGAGCAGGGACATTTTCGATTGACCAACTATTTACCCGGGCACAGTTTCTGGCACATGGTAGAAAGTCAGTAAATATTTGCTGGGTGGTCGAGGCGCCCAGGAAGGTAATCTGCCTAAGGCTACCTGGTCAGTCAGTGGCCCGCACTTGAACCTGGTTCTTTCTGCTCCCCAATCTCTTAGCCTCTCCTACTCCACCAAGTGTGGTCTCTGGACCAGAAGCATCACCTGGGAGCCTGTTAGAAATGCAGGCTCTTAGGCACCACCCCAGAACTACCGAATCAAAAACTCTATTTTAACAAAATGTCCCAGAGATTCACGGGCATGTGTAAATTTGGGAAGCAGTGCTCTGGGCTGTAACCCCCAGTAAAGACTCTCTGCTTTTTTCACTCAACAAGCAGTTCACGGTAGCATCGGTCTTTCCACTGTGCACTATGTCCGACCCCCTAATTCCAGAGCTGATTATTCCTACTCACTCCACGCCCAGGGGTG